TTAAGAGAGCTGACTAATCGCGCAGTCGAAATTTATAGCGTGCATGCATGCGCGAAGAACACGGAATTACCAGGACTTAGAGTGAGGATTAGAGAGGGAACRCCTGCGTTTTGCATGATCGGCCGCRGCGTGGGGGACRTAGCCCTTCTCCACGCGTCRATCCGAGCATGCAAGTCGCGGCTTACAAAATTTCAGCAAAAGAAAGAGAGGGAGGGCGGGAGAGACGAAGTGCAAGAAGAAAGATACAGTTACAAGGGTGCCCGCCCAAAATTACAGTTACACACGCGATTAAGGGCGCCTACTAATCAGAGTACCGTCACAGCCGCATGAAAAAGCGCGAAGACAAAAGGCGCAGTGCGGCAGGAAAAAGTCCTAATTACTGAATTCCTAAATTCCTATCTAATGCGGAAAAGCAAAAAAAGGATACATTCCAGAAAGAAAGTCCAAAATCCCGAGAGCCATCGGGGCTCGACAAAATTCGAAAAAGATTCAAAAGAAAATTCAAAAGAACGAAGCAATTTCTCGCGCGATGTCCTTGCCCAAAAGATCGAACCCGAAACGAGAGGAACGACGTCAACATACTGCTAGGTGGCACTATGTGGGCTACCATGTGGTCTGGATGGTACCATGTGTAGTGGATGGTACCACCTGAGAGGGGTCAAGACTCTCTCGACTGGATGGTACCAACCCACACATGCACCCCTACCCCCCAAGAAAAAAAGAACACAGGCAAGGCCGCAACTCAGCCCTTGGGACGGCCAGGTGGTACTTTGTGGGCTGAGCAGTTTTGTCTGGCGTGGGGGATACCATGTGGGTTGGTTGGTAGTATGAGGGCTGGGTGGTATTATGTGAGTTGACATCCGTCACCAGCCAGGACTTGTACACGGTGAATTCATTAGCTGCAATCATGTCCGCTGTATAGGCGACATTGTTTCCAACAATGTGTCATTGTTGGCCCATGATCGTGGGCACCAGATAGCTTTGTTGGTTTCCTGCGGAGCTGATTCATTATGGAAGGGTCCTACCTCCAAAGGGTAACATGTAGATGTTGAATTCCAACTGGATATCCCTACCCTGGTCGTGCACGTTGCAGACAGAACAGGCGCAATTCTGAGAGTTGCTCTGTAAAGAAGTTGTCCTGGAAAGGATAAAAGCAGCTACTGTTACTACCTGAGAAATAATGTTGCCTTTCATGTTTTGACAGAGGTTGACGGTTGTGAACTTTATGTTCACCTAGTAAGCCTAGGGTGTCTTCTATTTCTTTTTTTTTTCTTTCTTTCTTTTAAAAAATCGTACCATTCATTCCACAGAATCGATGAGTTGAGGCCAGTTATCCCGGCAGCTTCAGCTAGTTTAGCTTACAGGCCTGAGCCCATGAAGACCAAAGTCACAGTCTTTTCCGTGATCCAACTGTAAATTCTTAACTGCAATGACCAGTTTCTAACCTCACGCTAGCCTCTGACCTCGTCTACCCAGTAACTAAAGTCACTCCTGGACTAAGCTATGTGGAGGGGATCTTTGTAATGATTAAGTGCACCCTACCTATCCTGATCTACTAACGCCTACTGCCTATGTCAAGCCGAGCTGTCACGTCTCTTATAACAGAAATGCGGCCTATTAACGGCCTTGTATCAGCCTTGAAGAGGAGAGCCTAACCCGTCAGCCCCTTATTCCTTAGACGTCTGAACCTAGCCAGTCTGCAAAAACCAGCTTGTCTTCTGTAACTGCCATTTCGTCAGAATGGACATCTTTTATTTTTTGAACGAAATTGAAACCGAGTTTTTTGGCCGAAAACTCGTCAAAATTTGTTGTTCCTGAGGGTCCGGCGTTTGTAAAACGTTGGACCCCCTGGATGTACATGGACCTAGCTTGAGACCAGGTACCTCCAGGCAGGCAGTCCTGCCTGGAGGTGCCTGGTCTCAAGCTAGGTCCATGTACAGCCAGGGGGTCCAGCGTTTGTCAGGAACAGCAAATTTTGACGAGTTTTCGGCCAAAAAACTCAGTTTCAATTTCGTTCAAAAAATAAAAAATGTCCATTTTGACGAAATGGTCGTTCTGTGGAGATGGATGCAAAAGCACTATTTCTGCCCCATGTCTGGGAGAACCATCTTTTTAGACGGGGGGTGAGAAGATTGCCAATCTATCCTGATACTTCGTCTAGTCAGTGTCTTGATGTTCGAGATCTGGCTAAGGAGGGAGGTATATTCCTGGTTAAAAATAGCTCTGTTTCTTGCTTTCCACAATGTTTCCATTACCGCCCCCCGGCAGGCAAGAGCTGAATAACCCCAGCAGGAGGAAAGGTCTAGCCCCCCACTCGTCAGGCCGTAGAGCGACCATTCCTGTGTCCAGGGGAAGCTGTCTCCAGCTCAAGCTCCCCATTTCTATTTCCACCATTCCCAGACTTGTAAGGAGAAAGGGCAGTACAACCAGATATGGGCAGCGGTTTCCCACCCCCACTTGCATCGTGCACATTGTTTTGATAAGTCCATCCATTTGGAGAAGTTTGGACACTAGCCATGTTGAGGACGGAGTTACTAACAGCAGTTGAAGCCAAATAAGAGCCGCTTGCTTCTGTGAAACCATTGCCTTCAGTGCTCGCCAGTGGCCAAATAAGTCCAGCTTGCCTACAGCAAAGCCCGGTTCTTTGGATAATCTTTCTACTGTCGTGGCTATAGGCTGTTTTCTGACTGCTGCCCTGAGGATCTGAGCTCCTACCTTAGAGGAGTACTGAATACAGGCAGTTGCGAGTTCTGGCTAGTTCCATCCATATAGCAGAGGTTCTATATGCAGATTGTCTGCGTCCTCCTCCACTAGGTAGGCCTCTGTTGTTTTTGCTGATACATTTTGCCAGACTCTACACCTTCACCCCATGTGGAATTTCTGGGCCTATTATTTTAAATACTTCTTGCCTGTTGCTCACAGCGTCCGGATCTCTAACCCAAGCTCCTTGGCCATGTTCTGCTCCCGAGGGGAGCAAGGCGCGCCAGTACTACGGGATGCCGTTTATAAGCTTCTCATAATTGCCCTCGACCAGACGCAGGCGTAAAAGCCTTTGTTTGATCAGTTCAGCGGGTATCCACTCTTCCGCCATAATATCCCAGATATCCTTTTCTTTTTTTTTTCTCTCTTTTTTTTTTTTTTTTGGGACAAAGAGCTCCAATCCTTAATTTGGACTATTCCTCTTTCCTGTGTAGCTCAGGCTCTTTCTATCCACGCCCGGCCAAAGGAGCCCGGGCTACCATCGTCTTTGAAGCAAATGCCTTCCAACTCCCTAATATATTCATTCTCGAACAGTAATTGGTTCAAAACCTCTCTCCTAGACTCTGGTGGTCTAAGTGGATTCGGGAAGAGTTTATGCCAGCCAAACAAGATATTACGCCAAAGCTTAGATTTTGGCCTTCTTGTGGTAAATGAGCGGATGAACAAACAGGCCCATACATCTGCGGGTCTAGAGAGGTTCCACTCCTTAGCTAACAAGTATTCAGCCAGTTTGACCCAGAGCTTGGAGCGGGCCCAAAATACCGCTGCCGTGACCCATTTACACAGAAGGGCTTAATTCTGGTGGACTGGGTCCTGGATGCCCAAACCCCCTTGCACTCTCGGAAGGGCAATAGTCTCCCAAGCAACCTTCCATATGAAGCCTTGCTGCAAGTCTGCTGCCGGTTTCCATAGATACCGTGCTGCATCTCTTTTAATCCTAATATACGTTTTTTCGCCCAAGAGGTGTGCTGACAAGGGGAACCAGAGAAAAGAGAAGGCTGCTGAAGTCACCACCAGAGCCCTTCCGAAAAGGGACAGCTTGAAGGTAAGTGCCCATCCAGAAATTATTCCTGAAACCATGTCTTCCAATGTTGAATCCTGCACATCAGAACTGTTACAGTCCGATGGAGAAACTTGAACCCCTAAAAAGCGGTCCGAAGAGTTAGCAGGTATCTGTCTTAGGCCAAAATCCACACTGATCACCCGTGGGAGTGGAAGAAGGAAAGCCGACTTGTCCCAGTTTATGGAAGCTTCTGAGACGTGCAGTATTCATCTAGGACCCTACGCAGTTCGCGCAGTGCTCCTGTATTATTCTCGCATGCTATAGTGAGATCGTCCGCCAGTGCTCCCCCCTTCCATTCTAAGCCAGGGGCTAGCTTCAGGCCCACTATTCTAGGATTGTATCTGATATTGTCCAATAAGATCTCCAGTTGGAGTACAAACAGCAAGGGGGCCAGCGGGCACCCCTGTCTCAACAAGCGAGTCAGTTGAAAGTTTTCTGAAAGTTGGTCGTTCATGATTACCACCGATGTGGCATTCTCATAGCTCGCCCGAACCCATGTGCCGAAACCGGGTCCAAACCCCATTTTTTTAAAGGGAAGTATGCACAAAACTCCAACCAACCTTGTGGTTAGCCTTCTCCATGTCGAGGAGTAGGACCGCCACATCCCTTTTCTCTTTGCTAATAACCTCCAACGCCTCAATCGTAGAGAGGATATTTTAAAAAATGGTTCTCCCTTTGACAAAGGCTCCCTGTTCCCATCCAATTAACTCAGGGAGGATCTTTGCCAAACGCAAGGCGAGGGTTTTAGCAAATAGTTTGTAAGTCACATTTAATACCAAAATCGGTCTCCAGTTTCGGGCGTCGCGTTTATCTCCTTTTTTGAACATGAGGGAGATCATTCCTTGGGTAAATCCTTCTGGGAAAGAGCCTTGGGTGAGGGCGTGGTTATATACGTCCCGGAGGAACGGCGCGAAGGAGGTCCAGGTGGCTAAAAACAGTTCAATCGGAAGTCCATCTAGACCCGGGCACTTCCCTTTGGCCATGGCTCTAGCTGCCTGCAATATCTTTGTCTCCTCCATGGGTTTATCGAGATCTGAGGCCGCCCCCTGGGGGATCCTCCTATGTGAATAGTTCCAAAAGGACGAACTTGTTGATAGGTCGAACTGTGGGGGGTCAAATGGTCTACGAGTTGTAACGATGTCCCTATAATATTCTAATGCATACTGACACATTCTACTAGTCTCCTCTGCTATCGGTGCTGATTCATCGAAAGGGTGTGACAATTCCCGGATCAGCGGTCTTGATTAGCGAAGGAGGAGAGACCGAAAAGTTAATTATGTCATTCTGTCGAAACCTACTATATCCCTAAGCTTAAGAAATTTCATCCATTCTGTCTGTTTCTGAGTCTCAAGATCCTCAAGCTGGGCTAGGGAGTCCCTGCGTATACCTGCCCAGTGGAAGTCTGAGAAGGGATCTTTCCCCATCTCAGATTCCGCTTGTGATATCATTTTAACCAAAGACTTTTCTTTCCAAGTTCCTTGGGCAACCTTGATCCTTGAAAAGGTAATCAACGCCTGTTTAACAATGGCAATGCCCGTATCCTCCCAAGGAAGGGGGTCTGGGAACAGGTCTTTTGCCTCCATCCACTTGTTCATATGTGAGTTAACCCAGTTCTTTCGCCTCCATCCACTTGTTCATATGTGAGTTAACCCAGTTCTTTCGCCTCCATCCACTTGTTCATCCACTTGTTCGCACTTCCGGGGCCCCATTTCACTCCGATCAGGAAGTCGCGCTGGGCGTGAGGTTGGGCGTCATTGTGATTTGCAACTGCTATGTGACTGAGCGGGGTGGCGTTTCAGCAAGATAGGAATAGCAAAATTTGCAGATTTTGCTGCTATGCCAAAGCTGTTCGAGTATGCCCTAACTGCATTTATTCCGCAAATGTTTAAGAGACGCACTTTGGGGAATTGGGAGGGGATGCTGGTCCTTCACTCATCCCTACCTCCACGCACTCACAGGCCTACACTGAGTCAGAACTTCTATTTTTGTAAAAAGCCTTGCCTTTTCGCCACACCACTCCCGGAATGTGCAAAAGGTGCATGTATCTTCAGCAAAAACATTGAAAGATGCACCCTCCATAGGTTTTGTCTTTTTCACATTCGGTGAGTGGTCTGGCGATGCCCCATAACATACATGCTGGCCTTTTTTTCCCCCTTTTACGGTTTATCCTCTGGTTCTGCTGATACGATTAACAGATTAACCTGTGCTATGTCTGCAGGGAAGTTTCATGAGCAGCGACTTTTCAAGCACCTCTGTGACCCGCATGCAGCCAGACAAGAGCTCCCCGCCTGGAGACCTCGCTGAGGGTGTTCGTTTAGCGCTCAGCCAATTGGCTGATCCATCCAGGTATCATCTTGAGGTATGGGTACCACAAATGCTCTCAGTACTTTGCCTGTCTAAGGAAGGCACCCTTTTTCTTTTTCTTTTTCTTTTTCTTTTTGAATTTGGACCGTTTCTTGATTGATGTGTGTCATCCATTCGCAGGGGCTATGCTAATCTTCTCTGTAACGTTCCACCTTTAAACCGGCAGCACACGGGCGCAGTCCTGTGGAGATTTTTTCCTCTTTTTGTTGTCCGCCTTGTGGAGATTTTGCTTGTGGCCTACTCCAAAACTTTTTCTCGCAAGGCTTTCCAGACCAAGCCAAGAAAGAAAAGAATTGAGTTGCTGGCGGTTCGGAAAAGCTTGGTGCGTACTGCAGTGGCTCTCACTTTTGTGTGTGACTGCCCCATTGCAAGGAGTTTCGGTTCCTAGGCTGCATTCATTCCCTCTGAAACCATCCGACTCCCACTGCACTGGTTCAGGGAGATGACTTCATCTTCTGATTATTTCTCATATCTTCTTTTTCAGCACCGCGTCAGTCTTGTCTCCAGAACTTTAGGATTGTATTGTATTTCATAATAACTTTCATTTCATTTTCTTGCTCATCGTCAGGATTTGTATATCAGACATTTGTTTTTCTTCATGAAATTAGGTTGCATCACATGGACTCTGCATACAGCTTGCTGTGCATCCTAGATTTCTTAGCCTTGTGGTCTGCAGAGTTATGGCAGTGCTGTTTTTGCGGATAGCGTGTTTATAGCTCTTGCGATTGACTACAAGTTTGAGGATCATGCAGCGGAACTCTATTTTCCCCGGTCTATAGGCCGGCATATTTGGCTTTGTGATTATTCCGGTCGTGGAACCAGACGGTTGGCCTGATCCCACAGCCCGTTTATTATTTCGGCTAGTGCAGTCAGTCCAGTCAGTCCGCTGGGGGTATATACCCTAACTGCCGTCTATTTCCGTTTCATTCTTCATTGTTCAGTTTTGGCGTATGTGCAGTGTGGGTCCTTGGTGATGTTGTCTCTCTCCATTTTTCAGCTCCATCTCGATCTTTACCTTCTTCATCCTCCTTCCTTTTCCATGGTTACGGGATACCTACTGATTGAGTTCTTGAAAATATATATATATATATATATATCATAATTTGCAAAATACCCCCATAATTTGAGATATATGCCAAAATGCCCTTGAAAGATGTGGGTAGAGCGGAATGCCCTTTTGGACCAAAATCTTTGTATTGTGCCCCTGTCAGGCGGGTGTGAAACTTTACAATCTGGACCTCGCCCTTTGGGCCTTGGCCTTTTGCAATAGCGCCTAGGAAAAGTTGGCAAGTACTGGGGCATTTTGCAAAGTTGGATGGCACCCAGTAGGGGCATATTGCAAAGCTGGGGTTCCAACCGACGCCAGGGGTAGTTCACAATTCTATTTTTTTTTGTCAGAGGGGCATTCCGCTCTACCCACATCTTTTAGGGACATTTTGGCATATATCTCAAGTTATGGAGGTATTTTGCAAAAAATCCCAAAAACAAAAAGTCAGTTGAAGTGAGAATCAAAGGTTTAGGTTATGGAAAGCCTTCAGCCTTACGTGGTTTACAATTAGGAGGTCTTATTATAACCAAGATTAGCGATGTAACTCCAACGCCACATAACGGATGTCGTCGTCCTCCTAAGAAACGCCGCGTATAATATCATATCATCACTTATCCCAACTGCAATCCTCAATCCAGGTGCTTCTCTCAACACCACCGGGATAGAGGAGATGATCCTTGATGTTTCTGCAAAAAGGGGGGGGGGGGGGGGGAAGCCTGTCCTTTTTTTTTTTTTTTTTTGAACTCCGTATCCCGGGTGACCGTGCTAAATGGGGTGATATGAGCGTCCCCATTTAGAAGGCCTCGGTGTTGAAGGCTCCATGTATTGGTGGGGAGCGACATCTGCTGGAAATCGGGTCCACTGTCCCTGTACAACTGAGTTCGCTGCTGGATATCATGTCCAGCGTCCCAGTATCAGTTCGTGTAATGCAGCCGATCGTTATCCGTTATCCCTTGTCGCTGTTTGTAATGTGCTTGTGATAGGTTTGTGATAGGTTTGTGATAGGTTTGTGATAGGTTTGTGATAGGTTTGGGATAGGTTTTTGATAGGTTTGTTTGTGATAGGTTTGTGATAGGTTTGTTTGTGATAGGTTTGTGATAGGTTTGTGATAGGTTTGGGATAGGTTTGGGATAGGTTTGGGATGGGTTTGTGATAGGTTTGTGATAGGTTTGTGGGAGCTTTTGAACAGTTGTGCATAAATGTGCTTGTTGTGGTGTAGTACTTGTTATATGGGCTATATGGGCCTGAAGGCCATAAGTGAAAGCCGTGGTTGCTTTCTATGAAGCTGTTTCAAACTGTGAGAATAGCCTGACACCAAAAGTGAGCACTTGTTCTGTCAGACTTAGTGTTGGAGATATAGATTGTGAGTTGTGTGTGATGAATAAGAGGCAGTGCATGTATGGTGTGGGTCAGTGTATCAGTGTATGTCAGTGCTTGAGTGCTTATAACTTGGCTATGCAGTACGCTTCTGACAACCTAGCTGTTAAGGCTATTGTGGCTGCATGTGTCCACTGTTCCCCTCGACCTGCTAATTCCTTCATCCCTTCCTTATTCTCTTGTTCCACGTACCCCTTTCCCTCGTCCTTAGTTGCAGAGACCCTCCTTTCCCCGTTTACCCCTTAGACCCCTTAAACCCCTTAACCCCTTCCATGTCCTCTCTATCTATCGTCCTTTTGTCCTTGATGCAGCCCTACCCTTCATCTACACCTATCTTTCTTATACCCTCCCCAAACCCTGCCTAACCCTGCCTAAAACCTCCGCAGTGTCCAGCGTCCTCTGTAATCTTCACTGGTGACCCTGTGGACACGGTGGAGATCCATCCTGGATGGCACATTAGGTGAGGGGACAGGGTTTGTGGTAGGCTGGGAGGGTGGGGGCTGGCAGTGGCTGGGTGGAGAGGCGGAGCAGGTCCAGTAGGGGGGGAGGGGGAGGGGGGGCGGGAGGGACGTGTTTCTGAAAGCAGCTATGCAGGCAGGCCTCCGTGTGAGTCGGCAGAAAGCAGTACGAAGTTCGTTGGGTGAATGTGACAGGAGAAGTGATCATCGGGGAGAAATTCCCAGCGATTCTCCGTCGTGAGCCAGAGTTGCCACTGCAGGTTGAGCCGCTGGTCCAGTCTGCATAACATGTTGTTGGGATCCACCCATGTGTTTGTGAAATTTTCCATGAGCAGTGTTTTCTTAGGCTCTTCAGTCTCATTTTGCAACCTGGATTGCACAATTTTCCAGGATTCCTTGGCCATAACGGAGGAAGGTGTTGAGTGAGTCAATTGGGGCGCTGAACCAGATTTTCAGCTATAATCAAATCTGCCCCTTGGCCTAAGCACACCAGCATTGCATTCGTCGCCGTCGCCGTGTTCTGTGGATGTCACATGTTGGTTGTAGTCGCATGGCAACTCCTGCTAATTTTCTTTTTTTGGTGGGAGAATTCCTTATTACCCGCAATCTGAGTGTGCGCGCTGATCTCTCTCTCTCTCTCTCTCTCTCTCTCTCTCTCTCTCTCTCTCTCTCTCTC